GTTGTTTAGTACTGTCTATGTTCCCTGTCCATGTAAACACAATGATTACCCTGACAACAGGAGGTATCGTGATCATCTGTCTGTGTCTGTCGTGCTGTAGTCAGGGTTGCACCAACACTGCAGGATGGATTGAGCTGAAATTTGGAGTGGAGACGGGATGGTCAGACCTCATTAACGTTTTGTGATTGATTATATGTGGTAGATGTCTTGTATATTCATATAATTCTAAGCAGTGCGTGCATGAAAAGACCAACCTATCACCTGATTGGCTCCGAAAACACTGAGAGATAGAATTCCAACTAAGATCTTTCCCCTAAATTAGCTGCTAGAAATCTGGCAATCATTATACTTAATTTTAATACAACTATATTTGTATTTTATAAATTCACAGTTTTTTACGTGATCAAGCCTGGCTTCTGTCAATCTGTCTTGGAGCAGTTGTGGCGACAGTAGTTTATCACTGCTGTGTGTGGTGTGAATGAATAATTCCATGAGAAGCGTCTTTGAGTGTCAAAAAAGCGATGCATTCTCATCATAGGGAAAACCCTCATGTGAGTAACACTTAGTGTACGCCGCTTTGGTCCTGACCTGCCAATAAAGGGGATCACAGCCTTTCACTCATTGAGATCCAATCCATTGCAGGGAGCCTGCAAACAAGATAAAGAGCCAAACATGCTGAAGGGCGATGTAGAACAAGAAAAAACATGATGTCTGGTTAAAACATGAAAGAAACACAGCCATTTAGTTCCACACTTTCAAACAAACAAAGCCTCAGAAATGTTTCTGGAGGATGAATCACAAGCTGCTTATATTTTTTGATACTTTGTAATTACCAACATGGTGCAAAACAGTTTTGGTGCTGTCTCATTCAGTGCTCTCACTTACTGTATATGCAGTCCGTCCTGTCTCCGGTTTCACCTTCCCCTGAAACATAAACAATAGAATTCTCGCCGCAGGACCAGGATTCCCCTGAAAAAGAATCTCTGAATCTCAATGTTTCTCCTGCAATTACATACACTTGTTTAGTCAGACAGTGTTTTACTCTAGCTATATTTCTAAGGTGGTGAAAAGCAGATTTGGAGATGGCACTAAAGTGACCAGTAAAATATAAATCAGATTCAACAATTACTGTACACCAAGACTTTTGACTTGGTTTATAACTACTCACTACTGAATATTCCGTCTAAGACTTTGTCAACACCATGTTTGTGGTTTAAATTGATGGATACTGGATTGACACATTGGCATATATTTTTGTATAGCCCTAAATCACAACAGTAGTTCAGAGGACTTTATGAATTGTCAATTTACCAACAACAGATGAATCAAACCATTAGAAGAAACTACTTAAAAAACTCAGTGGGAATAAAGAGAAGCCTCTGGGAGGCCTACAGGATGGACAGGTTGTAGATCCAGGAGTGAGTCTAGTGTGTGCTTGATTGATGGCGGTGGATTGGAGGGGCCGATGTCAGTCTGTCCCTGGGCAGCTGTAGCTACAGTGTGGTTTATCAGCACTGTGCTCGGAGTGAATGAATAAGCGTCTTTGGGTGTCTATGCATTAGTATGCACTAAACATCCTCCAAACAAAATAATGACCCATTACAAATGAATGTTTTGAATCCTTTGAAATAAAAGTCAATAGATAATGTATAAATAATAGACATGCTCAACAGTGAAAGGATGCATCTCTACCCCATCTTTACTCCCAGCATCAAGAAGTCGAGGGACTGGAGCTAATTACTTTTTTCTTTTTTCATTAAGCCCACATGATTGTGCCCTGTTTATACTGGGATGCACAAATGTGACCTCAGTTTCGGCTCGGTTCTCCTTCCGGTCTGTGACTCACACCAACTGCTGTGGTGCTGTGGTCTGCCGCGGCGATAACACGTTGAAGTGCTATATTTAAACAAATACACTGAGGATATAGCAGTGGAGGGAAGAGTTTGGCTGTGCGGGGCAGGCTTGTGGTCAGAATGGTCTCACAGTGTGAACACTGTGGTAGTATCCAAATACATGTGGTTGTCTTCTGTCATGATATTTTAACTTGATTGTCATTGATAATCAAAAACAACACATAAGGTATGGTTGGGTTTTCAGCATACTAACGCCAACAACAAAGTCCAGTCATCACTCACTGTCACCATGACATAGTGTTTGTGGAACTGTCAGCGAGGAAACATGATGCTAAAGAGAGCAGCATTAACATGTGGATCAGTACCTTAGAAAGTTTCTTTTGTTATTTTGAGCAACTGATTCCATTTCAAATCAGCAGGATTTTATCGAAGAAATGTTTCTGCCCTGGACTTATGAGGATTTGCGCATCTACTGTATGTTTTGTTTAAATAATAAAAAAATAAAATAAAATGTTAAGACAATAAATGAACTTCAAGATATATATTTCCTATATTGATTCAATATAAGTTGATATGTTCACGTACTTAAGATCACTTCATGCATCCCTTGTGGATCATTACACTCACACATAAATGACTTTACACTAATAAGGGAATATGCAAATGAGAGGCAGCACTACTTAGTGTCCGTGTGTAACGTCCAAATGTGGAAGAGCACGGCCATCTGTGCGGCTGTAATTACACTTCCACAGCGAGTTCGCCAAGAGGCAGCGAGCAGACCCAGGTGCAGCGTGTGGTGGGGGTGCATTCTGAATATGCACACGTTTGGAATGACAGCATGTGCAGTTAACGTGGGATCAAAATGTAGAAACGATCATGACAATCCATGCGCAGACCCAATTATGTTTTGTATACTGTACATTTCCAAATGGTTGAAGAGAACTAAGACATTCTAATCCAATTTACTATTTTAATTTACCTCCTTTTGATGCAAGAGCTGTTCCCTGAGCCGTAACCAATCAGCTACAGGGCAGGTGAGTAAACAAGTGCGTTAGAATAAAATAGAAGGCCAACTATGAGCATACACGGGTCTTTCTGTGAGTACATTTACAGAGAGAGGGGCGTACTATGGTAACTACTCAGTTTTCCATAACTGTTAATTTATTAAGTTTAATTAAAGTACAATATCTTTAAATAGTTAATCAATTATTGCAAATAATCTGTTTATTCTATCTAGTTGTCAACAAAATGTCATATTCGATGAATAATTTTTTGAACCTTATGTAGACTGAAACATGCAGAAGGTTTTATGACTCGGATAATTCTTTAATGAAGGCAGAATGGAGTGAAAATGTCATCTCTATGATTTTCTCCAGGGGCATTACATATGCATTGTTTTGGTCAACATGTATTTAATAATCTCATATTATCCCATATCCCATACTTTCCATGTTTTAAACTTAACCAACAGCTGATGAACAGCCATTTTAACTTTAACTCAAACGGTACATTTTTTTAATTGTAATTAATTGCATTAAAGTCATAGATAACTGTCAATTAATCCCACTTGATGGCACATTTTTATTTATTCTACATGTCCCCTGATTTGGACTGTTAGTTTTGATTACTGAGAGATAGTTTTGATTACTGAGAGACCAGTAATTGCCAGTGAGCGCGACTGCTTTTTTTTTTCTCCAACACTTGCTGCACCTTACGTACCTGATTTCAGATACGTCCTTGTAGTAGTTTTATGTCTGAATGAAACAGTCTGTAGTGGACTGACACAACACTGCGCAGGATGTCGGCTGTTTTAAGTGACATGAGTAGGCTGCAGTTTTCTTCCTTTTTCATGGTTAATTTACAGGTGTCACTTTGAGCTCCAAGAGTAAAACTGGCACCGGTCATGGGCTGCATCTGAATCATTTATACCTCCTTCCTAATCCGTTCTTTTATGAGACATCTTGACATCTTTTTTGAGGCATCTTAAGTTAACTTAAGTTTACTTTAATTGGACCAATTCTGGTTCAATTCAGGCAAAAGTGAACACTAACCCTAACCCTGGCATAGTTAAAGACCCAGTTTGTAATGCTTATAATATAATCCATCCATCCATCCATTTTCTTCTGCTTTATCCGTTGCCGGGTTGCGGGGGCAGCAGTCTAAGCAGAGACGCCCAGACTTCCCTATCCACACACACCTCCTCCAGCTCGTCCGGGGGGACCCCAAGGCGTTCCCAGGCCAGCTGAGAGACATAGTCCCTCCAGCGTGTCCTGGGTCTTCCCCGGGGCCTCCTCCCAGTGGGACGTGCCCGGAACACCTCCCCAGGGAGGCGTCCAGGAGGCATCCGGAACAGATGCCCGAGCCACCTCAACTGGTTCCTCTCGACGTGGAGAAGCAGCGGCTCTACTCCGAGCTCCTCCCGTGTGACTGAGCTCCTCACCCTATCTCTAAGGGAGCGCCCAGCCACTCTGCGGAGGAAGCTCATTTCGACCGCTTGTATCCGCGATCTCGTTCTTTCGGTCATTACCCAAAGCTCATGACCATAGGTGAGGGAGGGAACGAAGATTGACCGGTAAATCGAGAGCTTTGCCTTTTGGCTCAGCTCCCTCTTCACCACGACGGTCCGATACAGCGACCGCATCACTGCGCACGCTGCACCGATCCGCCTGTCAATCTCACGCTCCATCCTTCCCTCACTCGTGAACAAGACCCCGAGATACTTGAACTCCTCCACTTGAGGAAGGACCCCTCCACCCACCTGCAGAGGGCAAGGCACCTTTTTCCGGTCGAGCACCATGGCCTCGGATAATATAAACTTATAATATAATGTTTTAACTTTATAGAAACATGAACAAAAAAGCATGTGTTCTAACGGTGGAGTGGGCTTGCATCTCCTCAAATCTGACTTTTAAGGAGGGATTCCTCCTGTTTGTGTCTGTCAAAATGTTGTTCCTGTAAATGTAATCTTGCACAAAAGGGCATACAAGGGAAAGTTCTTTGTGGTTTTAAATAATGTTTCCAATGAGTTATGCAGCTGATTTTTCTGTACCTGGAAACTATCAACAATATTGCATCACCCAGAGGATTTTTATTTAGTGTAATGGTGACAAATTTCAAACTAATATCCCTTTGTTGTTGTTTTTTCAGGACTACACACTGACAATGTACTTTCAGCAAGCATGGCGGGATAAACGTCTGTCCTACTCTGAAGTTGCTTACAACTTGACTTTGGATAACCGCGTAGCAGACCAGCTCTGGGTCCCAGACACATACTTCCTCAACGACAAAAAGTCCTTCGTTCATGGAGTGACGGTTAAAAACAGGATGATCCGCCTTCATCCAGATGGCACGGTGCTGTACGGACTCAGGTGAGCATCATGATTTCAGCTTATGCTTAGAAAGTGTTGGACAAGTTATTTCAACAACGTTATGTATTACTTATTACTTTTTTCAAAGTAACGTATTACACTACCACTACATTACTTTTAAGTTACTTTCTCCAAATACACTATATACACTATATATAAAAAAAAATTGTCCGCTTACCTTTGGCCCTCCGCGGGCGGTTATCCCTCTCTAAGCTCGGGTCCTCTACCAGAGGCCAGGGAGCTTGAGGGTTCTGGCAGTATCTTTGCTGTTCCTAGCACTGTACATTTCTGGACCGAGATGTCCGAGGTTGTTCCAGGGATCCGCTGTAACTACTCCTCTAGCTTCGGGATCACTGCCCCGAGTGCACCGATCACCACGGGCACTACTGTCACCTTTACCCTCCAGGCCCTCTCCAGCTCCTCTCTGAGACCTTGGTATTTCTCAAGCTTTTCATTTTCCTTTTTCCGGATGATACCATCGCTTGGAATTGCCACGTCCAACACCACGGCTGTCCTCTGTCCTTTGTCTACCACCACGATGTCAGGTTGGTTCGCCATTACCATTTGGTCGGTCTGTATCTGGAAGTCCCACAGGATCTTTGCACGCTCATTCTCCACCACCTTTGGAGGAGTTTCCCACTTAGACCTTGGAGTTTCCAGCCCATACTCTGCACAGATGTTTCTGTACACTATGCCAGCCACTTGGTTATGGCGTTCCATGTAGGCCTTCCCTGCCAGCATATATATATATATATATATATATACACACATACAGTATATACACATATATAGGGGTGGTGGAGAATGAGCGTGCAAAGATCCTGTGGGACTTCCAGACACAGACTTCCAGGAAGTCTGTGTCTGGAACCAACCTGACATTGTGGTGGTAGACAAAGGGCAGAAGAAAGCCGTGGTGGTGGACGTGGCAATTCCAAGCAATGGTAACATCAGGAAAAAAGAACATAAAAGCTTGAGAAATTCCAAGGGCTCGGAGAGGAGCTGGAGAGGGCCTGGAGGGTAAATGTGACAGTAGTGCCCGTGGTGATCAGTGCACCCTTGGCAGTTACCCAGAAGCTAGAGGAGTGGTTACAGCGGATCCCTGAAACAACCTTAGAAATCTCGGTTCAGAAATGTGCAGTGCTAGGAACAGCAAAGATACTGCGCAGAACCCTCAAGCTCCCAGGCCTCTGGTAGAGAACCCGAGCATAGAGAGGAATAACTGCCCGCGGAGGGCGAAAGGTGTGTGTGTATATATTACATACTAATTGTAGCTTATGATGCTATTGCGTGAAGTTGTTGGAGCTTTTGGTTAAAGAGCACTTAACTGTTATGTTCCACATCTTTGTCTCCAACAAACTCTAAGTAATGGAAGCCTGTCCATCTGTAAAATGTACTATTATCTGCTTCTGCTTCAGCTTCAGCCATCTTCTACCTCATGGGTCACCAACTTTCTTAAATCCGGAGACGACCTCACGATGAGGCTCGAGGGCTTCTATATATTGTTGAATTCAAATGATTGTGCGTTGTACAGATAAGTCAAAAATAGTGAATTGTACAAAACCCCTGTCATTTATTTTCTTTTAACATGGATTAGGATTTAAAGTTCAATTATCCATCCATCCATCCATTTTCTTCCGCTTCATCCATTGCCCGGTCGCGGGGGCAGCAGTCTAAGCAGAGACGCCCAGACTTCCCCATCCATACACACTTCCTCCAGCTCATCCGGGGGGACCCCAAGGCGTTCCCAGGCCAGCTGAGCGACTAAGTCCCGTCCCAAGTCTTACCCTTGCCCTTAGGTGTGAGTGCCCTCACCAGAAAAGTGCCTTCCCAGTGGTGAGTGCACTCACAACATTCCCCCTAAGAATTGGGACACCCCTGGATCAAGGGGACAATATGCAAAGGACGCAGCAGTCGTGTTCCACGTCACACGCATTATCAATGTGTCTGATTTCACCACATAAGATCTGACACAGAGATGACTTTATGAAACACAGTATTTATTAAAATGAGAAGTTTTTTATTCTATTTCACATGAAGATTTGCTATAATTAGGTACAGAACTGCTGCACATCACGCTCTCAGAGACAGACACACACACGCATACAGACACACATGTACACACACAGAGGCAGACACACACACACACTGACAGACGCATGTAAATACGCGCACAGAGACGTACCACAGACAGACACACGCGCGTACCACACAGAGACAAAAACATGTACATACACGTACGCGCACAGAGGCGTACCACACAGAGACAGACGGGTACAGCCGTGGTCCCGTGGATCACAAAGCAAACTGTGTCAAAGCGATGCTTTGAACTACATTATGGATCTATGATAATAACATGCACCACGTCTCTGAAGCCTCAGTGAACGCCACACACTGCAGCCGCTTCGGGAGCGAACGTCACCACACACGACACCAACACACGCTTTAAAAACTCTTAATGACTCGCACACGCTTCAGAGCTTCCTACCGTTCAGCACAAACTTGTGCCCGGGTGTTTCATGTTGTTTTCTTTCATTGTGGCCCGACAGCTGCTTTACCAACAGCTATCGTAATGCATCATGGGATCACCCTCGCTCGCGAGTGAGCTCCGGACCACACTTGCGCTCAAGGGTGGTTTTTAGGGGTGTGAAGGCCCTTGCTTCGTCTCCCTAAGTATTGGGACACCCTACAACCCCGCGGGCACGCGCAAAATCTAGGGCAAGTGTGCTTTTTAAGGGCAAGGGTGAGAATTGGGTCGGGGCGATAGTCCCTCCAGCGTGTCCTGGCTCTTCCTCGGGGCCTCCTCCCGGTGGGACGTGCCCAGCACCAGAGACCTTGCTACCACAGCTACGAGCTGCCGCATCGGCGATAGAGGAAGAAAACATGGTCCACTCAGACTAGATATCCCTCTCCTCCTCCGGGATCTGGGAGAAGCTCTCCCAGAGGTGTGAGTTCCCCTGCCAGCGGATCCAACTCACAACCAGGTGGTGATCGGTTGACAGCTCTGCCCCTCTTTTCACCCGAGTGTCCGAGACACGTGGTCGAAGGTCAGATGATACGACAACAAAGTCGATCACCGACCTCCGGCCTAGGGTGTCCTGGTGCCACGTGCACTGGTGGACACCCTTGTACTCGAACCTGGTGTTCATGATGGACAAACTATGACTAGCACAGAAGTCCAACAACTGAACACCGCTTGGGTTCAGATCAAGAGGACCGTTCTTCCCGATCACCCCTCTCCAAGTGTCACTGGCATTTCCCACATGGGCGTTGAAGTCCCCCAGGAGAATAACGGAACTTCTTCAAGTTCAATTATTACATATGTAGGAGCCAAAATGTACCTTTCCCTAGCCACAAGCTGAAGATCATCTATGTGGTGTTTATTCTGATGTACTGGACAAAAGAAAGCATATTTTTTAATTTATATTAACCTTGTGGCTTGTAAAGGGATGCCGCCAATGTATGTATTTTTATTTTGTTAGAGCTGTCCCCAAATTCCTTCCTCTATCAGCTTTTCTCCAGAGCTGATGACGAAGCACGCATTCCTGCTTCCTGGAGTATTTATGTTAACAGCAGTGGGTAGGAAATTGAAAGAGAGGAAGGAAATTTACCAGAATTCTTTGATCATCACAAGTGAACGGTGCATTAAATCACCTCGTTATTAAGATAAGATAACAACAGTTCAATCAGCTGTTGGTGAAGTGTTACAATACAACATGAAAACCTCCATAAATCCGGGCGATGTATGGACAAATTTACTTTCTTTCAAAATGTCCCTGTCGCAGTTTATGTACAGGTGCGCTCAGTGGTCTAGAAAGTATTGTAAATAATAATCAAATTCAGTCATTTTTATCCCGAAAAATGTAGGCTATGTGTTCACAAAGCTATTCCTTCAAATCCCTTGATTATCATCGGTCTGAATAATTGATGGGTTGTTCAATATTAAAGTAGCTGGTACAAAAGCAAAGTGACTCATATTGTGCGCCGTGGTTTGGACGACATGCTTTGTGATGTTGGACTGTGATGCCTCTGAAGCGGCTGTATTCATAATTGATAAATGCGTATCAATAATGTAGAGGCTCAATACAAACACTGAATCAGTTCTTGTCTTAATGTGGCAGATTTGGCGGCACAGGTTAGCACTGTCGGTCCATCGTCACTGGTGCTACTGCTCGATGGAGTGTACACATATAGGGAGAATGTAACCGATCACCATCTATCTTTATTACCCTGCCAACATGAGGGGTACTGCAATCGTCTCTGAGTGACGGAGTTGGATTGTTCATATACTCAACAGATTGATGTGAAGTTTGGTGTGTGTATGGAGATATGATGGAAGGAACACCCCATTAACCCTCCAAGGTCTAGGGTCTTTTTTGGGAACCTTCCTTGCCTGGTTTTCTTTGTGTATAATTGCTCATAAAACAGTCATCTTTTGATGCAGAGTCAAGCAGTATACTTTGTTTTTTTCAGTACAACCTGGGGTTTTAGAATATTCATATTGAGCTGTCATATCAATTATATAAAAATTATGGAATCATGAAGACAAAGAAAAAAATGAAACAGAAAATCAATTTCACAAAACTGCATTGAAAAAACACAATGAAATGCAACTTTTTAGACTTGTTATTTAGGGTCATGGGGATAATGGGGGAAAAAATGGAGCCTGTGACTATTATAATTTTTACAAAATTCCACTATAAAAGCCAAAAAACGCTGTATTCCTGATGCCTTTCCTGAAGCAGTTTGTCTTTGAGGCTGGGGTTGCTTCATTATCACAGCTGTAAATAGTAGAAAAAAAGAAACTAAGACAAAAAAATAAATAAAACATCTAATTTATATATATAAATACATTATATACACATAAAATTATTATATTGTATGTATTGTCTATATCAATAATGCGCACTCCTCTGGCTCCTCTGAGCGCTGCTGCCTGTGCTGCAACAAGTAAACACAGAGGAGTGAGTCATCCTACTCTCTCTGACGATCTATGTGTGAGT